CTGGAATATTTTCAAGAGATTCAGATTTTAATTTGAGTGTCATCTCTTCTAGTTGTATCACCATGTTTCGAAATGAAGCTTGAGTGGACTTCATGAATTCGGCAATGAGGGATACCAAATAAACTTGTTCATCAGTGGTCTGCTGCTGCTGCATTGGATAATAATTTTGAAAATCATCAAATTGTGGCTCTCTATGTTGAAACTCGTTCAAATCTTGGTCTTGAAAGCTTTCCTCGTATGTGTTGTTGATGTGAGTGTTCCAATAACCTCCGTTGGTAATTTCGTCGAAATTCGTCGCTGTTGGTGATCCCCAACATTGATCAGAATAATGATTTCCACCACATGCTGAACAAAACGGAGGCACATCATAGGTGTTTTTAAGGTATTCGTCAGATGGAAGCCATTCATATCCCGTTTGAGGTGCCCGAACATTGTAACCAGACATGAAACAAAAACAACAAAAAATAAAAATTAAAAATAAAAATAAAAATAAAAATTAAATGGCTGAAGTAAGAAATATTGCTCAAATTTGATATCAGAATAAATAGATAATTTAGCCGTATTCCCCGGCAACGGCGCCAAAAACTTGTTGGAGCTAAATACCTAACACGCAAGTGCACGTATCGCAAACAAGTAGTAAAAGTGGACTCGTGAGAGTTGGATGTCGATCCCACAGGGAATACTCAAATTATCTAATCCTAAGTACCGAATTCTAAAAATTATGATTTTTATCCAGCCTACGCAAAATTATCAAATTTAATCAACTAAATAATTAAACTAATTATGAAAGCAAATAAACACAAGAAAGTATCAATATAAAAACGAATCTAGGATTTTATCTTCCCCCTATGCGATAAGTCATCACCCAATTAAACCTCTATCATGCAAGTTAGGATTCCTGATTATTAACCCGAAACACTTAATTACTCATAACCCGCTGTCGCGTGTATTATGAGTCCATTATTCATAAACGATTCACTATATGTCTATGCAAACCAATTATGAATACAGCATTAAACAACAAGTCTCGTAAACGGCTGCCTAAGGTGATATCTGTATGTCTACGACACCACATGCAATTGACACACTCATCCGGTGAAAACTACTCGAAGGCTATTCTATCCATGTTCTAATTATTAAAACGATATGTCAATCAATTCTAACAATAACACATAGCAACATAAATTAGCTAGGTTCATGCGCTAAATAAGATCAAATAGAAGAAATAATCATGGAATTTAAACTTGCATAATATTAGAAAAATAGGTTTGAATCACCACATTGGGTTCAGTAAAATCCTAGATTAAAAACTTAGCTACTCGTAATTCTTATGATAAACAAAATAGAATAAATAAAATAAATAAGAAAAACTATGCTTGAGTCTCCGTTGATCTTCGTTCTTCGCGTTTTGTGGTATAAATTTTCTTGCTTATGGTGTAGAGACTTGTTGCTTTTATAGGCTTTTCTTGATAAGGAAGTAGTGGAAACCTAATAGGAATCAATTTTCGCCACTTTCCCCCACCAGGATTTGTTCGTCGATTTGTGCCATGTTGGAGTCCGAATTTTAGAATGTTGTGTAAATAAGAATTGTAGCCCTTGAAATTAGCTTTCCAATTCCGTCAAAATAACCTAATTCGGAGTTCGTATGAGAGAGATATGCTCGAAATGGTGTACACTGTCAAAGTTGTGGCGAGATTCCTTCTTCCAACTTGATTTGTTTCCTTATTTGCAACTTTTTCCTTTCTTTTTTATTTTTTTTCCTTCATGGACACCTAATTCTCGTTTTTCACAAGCACAAATATAATTAAATCTAAACAAAAGATCCAAGTAAAGTAAACGTATTGAGTATAATATCTACACTCAACACTTGTTAAATCCATTTCTTACAGGAGAATGCAAAGGTCATATATATATATATATATATATATATATATATATATATATATATATATATATATATATATATATATATATATATATATATATATATATATATATATATATATATATATATATATATATATATATATATATATATATATATATATATATATATATATATATATATATATATATATATATATATATATATATATATATATATATATATATATATATATATATATATATATATATATATATATATATATATAAATATATATTAATTTATAATTTATGTGGATTTTTATGAGTTTATGTATTTTTAGATGTGTATATGATTGTTTGTAGATGTGGATGTGAGTGTATATATGTGTATGTATATGGATGTTTTGTGTGAGTTTAGAAGTGTGTGTATGTGTGAATGGTCGTCCATGTACCTAGCTCTCTATATCTATATAAATAGACTGAGAGAGAGAGAGTGAGAGAGAGACACGCTCGCACTCGCGCACACTGTGAGAGTGGGTGCGAGATTCCTTCTTCCAGCTTTATTTGTTTTTTTTTTTGCTTTTTTTTTCTTTTTTTTTTTTTTTCTTTCCTTCACGGCCACTTATTTTTTTTCTCTCACAAAAACAAATATAAAAAAAAAAAAAAAATAGATCAAAGGAAAGTAGATATATTGAGATAGATACCCCCACCTATATATATATATATATATATATATATATATATATATATATATATATATATATATATATATATAAGGGGATAATTACAGTTTTGGTCCCCCAAGTTTGCCCGTTTTTCACTTTTGGTCCTCCATTTACCGCCGTCAACAAAATACACACTAATGTTGTCACATTTTAACACATTTAGTCCCTCCGTTTGTTTGACCGTTAAGTAGTAACGGTCAACGGCTGAATTTGGGGTTTTTCTTTGAGAAAATTGCAATAATACCCCTGTATTCTTTCAAAATATTCTAAAAACCTCTAAAATTTTATTCAACCATAATTTAACCCATATTTCATCAATTAACCAATTTTAACTCATGACCCCGATTTTTCAAAATTGGGTAATCCGACGTTGACTTTCCTTTTAACTCGGTTGACTTTTTTGTCGATTGATTTTTTTCCCGTTGTTGACCGATGTTGAATGTCGTCTTAACAGCGTTGATTTTTTTTTCTTGATTTTTATTTAAATTGTCCAATAATGGAAAAATATAATTAAAAAAATCAAAGCTGATAATCGGCAAGAAAATAATATCATAAAAAAATTCAAAATAAAGAAAAACTGAAAAAGTCAACGCATCTCAATGACGAAAAAATTTTAAGACAAAAAAAAAGATAAAAATTAACGGCCGGTGCTAGCCCCAAAAACCGTTGTAGTAGAGTGGTTTTCTCATTATAAATTACTCCGCACATGCCTAATTCATCTTCTTCATATTTTCTTGGGAAGAAATTTGAGATGCACTCGCGGTTCCACGAAGAAAAAATTGAGGGGAAGAAATTATGGATTTTAGAATTTTTTTAAAATTGTATTTAGGCCCTAAATTTTAGATAAAAACTTTCTTAGAAGGTTGTAATTTTAATATTACTATATATTAATATTGTATTATTATTGTGTTATACAGTAATTGTGTTGATCGGAAAAAAAAAAGTTAAAGGAAAAAGTTCGAAAAAAATCAAGAAAAATAAAAAAAGTCAACATTGTTAACCGAGAATACAATGTCGGTGAACGGCGTCAAAATCAATAGTAAATAAAAAAAAAATCAATGCCGAAAAAAAAAGTACAAAAAAAAAAATCAACGGCGGTCAAGGGTCAACGGTAATGGTGGTAAAAAAATCGTGGTCGTTTGTCAAAATTGATTAAATGATGAAATTGGGGTTAAATTATGGTTGGGTAAAATTTTAGGGGGTTCTAGAATATTTTAAAAGAATGCAGGGGTCTGGGTGCAATTTTTATCTATGAAAAATCCCAAATTCAACCCTAATTCAACAGTTGACCGTTACTACTTAACGGTCAAACAGACGGAGGGACTAAATGTGTTAAAATTTGACAACATTAGTGTGTATTTTGTTGACGGCGGTAAATGGGGGACCAAAACTGAAAAACGTGCAAACTTGGGGGACCAAAACTGTAATTATCCCTATATATAAGTGTCTAACTCCTCTAATTTACTCTCCCATATTTTATTTTTTCTTTTTTTTCTACTCCTACCCATGTGAAACGGTGCCGTTTAATAGATTTGTACCAATCATGTGGCTCAAATAATTTCTTTTCCATTTATTTTGAGGATGTTTGATTGCAATCGTTCATATTGGTGGGCCCATACTTGTTTTTTTTATTATCTTTATCCTCCTTCGCGCCTACAATTGTTATGTGTGTGCAGGTTTTCTTTTTACTTTTCTACTTTGGTGCGCCCCACACGTTTTTTAATTTTTTTTTGTGCCCTTCTCCTCACATGACAACAATCTTGTGTGGGCCCAATCTATTTATTTACTTGTTAGTTTAAATAAACTCTCTCATACACACCCACCCCACACTCCGAGCCCTACACACAAACGGTTTTTTTTTATTCTTTTCTTTCATTTTTTATTTTTTGAGGGAAATTCTATAATGTTGAATTTTGTAATGTTTGTTTCTTTTTAGCTACTAAAATGTTGAAGTATAAATCAAATTGATATTTTATGTTCAATTGGGTTATTCGATCCTAGAATCACTGCAATTATTTTTTTTCTATTAAAGTTTTGTAGATACATTCAATTCGAATTCCCATTGCATTTCCATCTAAAATAAACCTTTATGCACCGCATTTTCATTTGAGACGCAGCCAATTAGGTCCCAGCGCAATGTTATTTAGAAGGTTTTAGCAATTATAACAATTACGGTGATCTATACTGCGAATAAATCATTTCGATTTCGCAACTCCATCATATATATCCCTACAGTGTGCCGGTAAAATCAAATGCTATAAAAAAACACAAAGAAATAAGGAACCTATATAATGGGCAAATAGCACCGCGCCTTGCGCGGTGCACCCACTCCTAGTATATATATATATATATAAACAACCAGCATGTATAACAAAAAATATTATTGAAATAATCAAAGATTCACACTATACAATATACCAACATATACCTGAGTTGTAAATAATTCATACTATTTTATAAAGGCTTTGTATAAACTTTATAACTTCTCAACTGGAAAACCAACGACTGGTTTTACTTGTGATGCCATTGATCTCAGCTCTTCGACTTCGTCGTTGCTAAGTTTCCATCCCACCGCACCGGCGAATTCTTGAGCTTGTTCCGCATTGCGGGCCCCCGGGATTGGGACCACGTTTTCTTGAGCAACGAGCCAGTTTAAGACAACCTATTCATGTCAAAATAAAATAAAATAAATAAATAAATCATTGAATGTTTTTAATGTCCAACAATTGGCATTTATGATTAACATATGGATTCCAATTAAGACAGTTAGGACTTTGTCGTTCGTGTAGGCAGTGACACAACCAGCATAGGGCTAAGGGGGGCCATGGCCCCCTCCACTTTGTCGAAAATTTACTGTTCGATAAAGTAATTTGTTTTGTTTCTTCCTACTAGTGTAGATATTATCACCCCGACTAGAAATTTTTGGCTCCGCCAAGGTGTAGATGTAACGAATTCAGATATAGAGTTAATTGCATTAGTACCCCTCTAAAATACTAATTAACACACTACCCCCTAAAATGGTGGGTTCTTATAGCGTAGTTTGCTAATAAAATTGAATCATAGTGGGTTTTTGACAATTAGAGTAAACATGGAGGTGGTAAATGCAATAAAACCCTCGAATACAACGACGAGTTTGCAGAGATATTAGCCGACTAGAAGTATTTCTTGCAATCTACATTGTAAGAAACAAATACTTGAAGCAACTTAAACTGAAAAATAAGGTACCATTTTGAAAGAACGAACCTGAGTTGGGGTTTTGCCGTAGCCTTCTCCAATCTCCTTTATCCGGTTTATTAGAGGTTGTAGCTGCCAAAATAAAAAAATAAAAAAAATAAAATATAATTCGGTAGTAAACCCGTTAGTAGAATTAATTCTCGTTTAACTAAAACCACTTAATTTAGTCATGAATTCGGGGGTGTAAATACTTCCTCTAGGACCGGTCGGAGTGTTACTTGGAGTATACTTCCCCGTAAGTGCACCTGAATAATAACAGAATTAATCTAAATCGTCTCGAGTATATTCATTAGACATTTTTTTAAGGAATTCAAAAAAAAAAACAAAACCGGCTAGGGTTTAAGCTTGAGCAAGTCGCGAATATGCAATTAAGGTGATACCGAGTTCATCACAGGTCGATTTGACACCGTTTTCCTCGGGGAGTCGATATATCAGACTGTAGTTTACTTGGTTTGAAGCCAAACGTATACCTCTCTTTTTCAGTTGATCATATGTCTCACGAAGACGCTTCTCTAAATAACCATAAATCATTTCAAATTACGAAATCTCTAATTTTTTTTTAATATATTTTAAAATAGAGAATTATTTATTAAGTGCATATATCTTCATTTAAAGAAAAATGGCAAGAAATTTACCACTGTAGTTTGATACTCCAACAGCTTTCACGAGACCTTGCTCCACAGCATCTGCTAGACCGTCGATGTATCCTGGAATAAAAAAAATGATCCCGATTTTGCTAACCCCTCTCAAATTTAAATAAGCATAATATATACATACACAAGATGAAAATTGAAATGAGACTCGATTTTGTCTCCCCGGAAAGTGTTGAGACGTGCTTGAATTTGTGCCAAGAATACAGAGTTCTTCCTCGTGTTCACGCAAAAGATAGCTTACAGGTAAGAGAAGAAACTCTTTTTTTTTTTTTTCTTCAAATTTTATTTATTTATTTATTTATTTTTCCGAAATGCTACTCGTCGAACTTCAATTGATAAATTATTTTGGTTTTCTTGTGTTTTAGGTAGGCAAGATGATTGTATATGCAGTACGAGATGCCGTGAGTGACATCAAGGGTTCGAGGGTCTGATTAGTTTTCTTTGTTTGTTTGATAAGTACTATGTAAAAATGTTCGTGTCAAGAAGATGAGGCTGCCTTCATGTTTTACTTGTTTAGTAGTGTAATGCAATGAAAAGAAAAATGTTCGGTTTATTGTCTCTCTCTCTCTCCTTCCCTCACTCCCTCTCAATTTATTTTGAAACAAAAATATCCAAACAAAGCCTTAGTTATTAATAACAATTCATCTTTATTTCATTTTACCTAGTATCTTTCTCTATTATTTTCCCTTAAGAACCAAACAAAACTGAGGAAGATGATTTTTCTCAAAATTATTTTCATCAGCATTTTTCTTAGGAACCAAACACAATTGAAATTTGGGATTTCGAAAGTACTTGATTTTCTTTTCCTTTGAATTTTCATTTTTCTTATTTTGAAATTCATGAACCACTGAGAGCCTAAATGATTGTAGTAAACTGTAAAGGTAAAAGGACAAATATATCCTTCAATAAAATAATATAAGATTACAATAATATATAGGAATGACACTTTACAAATAAGCACATCAATGGGTACGTATTTATAAATGGGTCCAAACAAAAAACTTTTACAAAAATGTCAACACGTGGTCCAGAGGTTTGTAAAAGAGTAAAATAGCTCCTCACATTTTAATATGCTATAATTTCACTATTTAACTTAATCTAACCTCAATTTGACCCCAAATTTCACAAATTATTTAATTTTAACCCAAAACACAATTTTATCGATAATTTCGTCCGTCGCTGCCGTTTACCGTCGGTCTCCGGCGTTGACTTTTATTTTTTTATTTTTTTTATTTCTAATTTGTGTATTCTGTAACATATTTTTGCCCATGTTTAAACAACAATATTGTTGTGGTTGACAGTAATATTAACAATATTACTGTTAAACACAGTAAAATTAACTATACTACAGTTTAACACAGTAATATTGCTATATGAATCTCTAGCATAGTAATATTAATATAAACAAAACTCATTATTATTGTGTAATAGAGTAATATTAATATGTTGACCGTTCAACAAATGTAAACATAATAAAAAGTCAAAATAATTAATATTATTGCGGTTGTTACAGTAATATTACTGTAACAACAGTAATATTACCATCAACCACAGTAATATTATTGTGGTTACAGTAATATTATAGTAGTAGACAGTAATATTATTACGTTACTCCGTCAACAACTCATACAAAACAAAAGACCCAAAAAAATAAAAATATTGATGTGGTTGAGTAATATTATTGTGTTTACAATTATTTTACTGTCAACGACAGTAATATAATAACGTTGACTTGTTAACAAATTAAACAAAATGAAAAAGAAACCCAAAAAATAATAATATTGTCGTTGACTCTAATTGTACTGTCGACGCAGTACAATTACATAAATTTATTGTCAACGACAGTACACTTACGTTAATGACAGTACAATTACGGTTAACGTTTAGCGGCAGGTGTAAAAAACCGAAAAAAATATTTTTTTTTTTTTGAAAAAGTCAACGCCGGAGACCGGGGGCCAACGCCGGAAACCGGCGGCAAAAAACACAGACCAGAAAAAAAAAATCAGAAAGTCAATGCCGAAAACCGGCGGCGAAAAAATAATTTCTGAAAAAAAAATTAAAATAGTCAAAATTGATTAAATTGGGGTTACAATTAAGAATTGGGTGTAAAGCGTTGGGGGTAATTTTGTCATATATATTTTTCCTTTTTCTATAATAGATATTAAAGCGGTGAACTTATTAACAAAAGAGATATAGCCTTTTAATCTAGAAAATTAAAGATGGTTGGTTAGGAACTTATGCACAAAAACCCCTAATATAAAATAGACGCCAAATTGTTTCCTCAGAGTTTCGTCTTCTACGATCTTCCGACTGAGTACCGGTGTTGATTTTCTCATGTTTTTCGATCTGAATTGTGAAAAGATTCGATCATATGCTTTTACTTTATCATCTAAATCTTAGCCTTTTTTTTTAATGCGTTTATCTAGGGTTTTTGTCGGTTTTTTTCTTTGAGTAGTTTCTTTATTTGGCCTAGTATTATTTTTTCTTTACCTGATTTCTCCGCTCAATACCTCTCTTTCTCTCCCCAGCCCCAGCACGCCGTCGATTCTAACCGTGGTGTCCAAGCCCCCCCTCTCTCTCTCAATCTGCGATGGACAGTCTCTCCGATGCTATGTCAAAGAAAATCACACTCACTGAAGATGAAGAAGCGGGTGTTCTGGTAGATTTGGCCGATAATGAATCTAGGGATTCGGAAAATCTGCACAGATTAGTGGGTCGAATCGTCTCTATGAAGGAGTTCTCTTTTCATACGATCAGATCTAATGCTATCCGCGTCCTTGCCCCGGTAAAAGGGTGCGACATTCAACCACTTGGTCCGAACAAAGTGTTGCTTAATTTTGATCATGTGCTCGATAAGAAACATGCGATGGAAGGTTGTCCGTGGGTCCTTGAGCGACACGCTTTCATCCTTCACCATCTCATACCTGGCGAATCCCCCGTTAATGTTGACGTGAAATAGATGTCGATTGTCGTCCGTATCCACAAAGTACCAATTAATCAACGAAACCCTACCGTGGCAAAACAGATAGCGTCGAATATTGGTGTATTCCAGGTGCTACTCAATGAGAAAACCATGGACATGATGGACTATATGAGATTCAGGGTCTTGGTGGATGTCACCCTACGGCTGAAACGAGGAATTTTCTTGCATGCTAGAGACAATCAGAAAGTGTGGATTGACTTCCACTATGAACGACTACCATCATTTTGCTTTTTATACGGAATCCTTGGACATGGCGAAAACAAGTGCCCTAGCCGCTACGAAGATGGCTTTGAAGACCCCGGTGATGATCTACCATATGGGATATGGATGAAAGTGCAGAACCCGCGTGAGGGATCAATCAACATACTCCCACTTCAGCCGCTCCCTATGAATAATTTGGTGAGGACAACGTCACAAAGCTCAGGGACTCGAGGAAATGAGGAAATGACATTTTTGCTTTCAGCGCTAAGAATATAGACAACAATGAACATGATAGGTCTATTTTGAGAGACAACGGAATCAACCCCACTGACCATGAGATGCTTCTGTATAACACTTCGGTCCAACAATCCATGAACACAATGAACGAAATATCGGCAATGAGGAAATTTGTTTCGGTTTCACAGAATAACAAGAATAAAAGAACAAATAGTACTCTGAGCAAGGGGCAGGAACGCTCTGGCAAGAGACAAACTCTCACCCTTTGTGATGAAAACACAGAACCAACGGTGAGATCTGCGGAGTAGACTCGCCGATCGCCATGAATTGCTTCTTTTGGAATTGTCAAGGTCTAGGGGCGACATTGACAATTCATACAATCGGAGATATTCTCCGAAAACATAGCCCCAAATTGATGTTTTTTTCAAAAACGAAATCGACATCAGTCTTTGTAAATAAATTGAAGACAAAGTGGAATTTATTTGGTGTTTCGGTGGACAAGGTGGGCCAATCGAGCGACCTGGCGATGCTTTGGCAAAAGAATACTCGGGTGGAGCTTCTGAGTTACTCAAATAACCACATTGATGTGGTTATTGTTAGCGAAGAGGGTCATTACCAGTGGCGATGCACAGGATGTTTATGGTTATCCGGAGCTGAACCGACGAACCCAAACTTGGCAATTGATCAGAAGCCTCAAATCCCAATACAATATACCGTGGCTTGTTGGGGGGGACTACAACGAGATATTGGCAAACTCTGAAAAAAGTGGGGTGGTCCATGCTTGCCCTCTACTATTGTAGCTTTCCGATCAACCTTGGAGGATTGTAATCTCTCAGATCTTGGCTTTACTGGACCGACTTACACATGGACAAATAAGCGTGAGGCACCTAACACTGTCAGATGCCGACTCGATAGGTGTTGTGGAAGTAGTGACTGGATTTCTATGTTCCCTAATGCCACTGTCAGACACTTGGGGTATGCAGGCTGATCAGTTGCCTCTTCTTTTGACTATGGAAACGGATTTTCCGCACATGGGAAATATGGATGGGAGACCGTTCCGTTTTGAGGCCATGTGGACCCGACAAGCGGAGTGTGAAGATATCATCAAGCAACAATGGGAGTCTAACATTGGAGGAGATCATTTCGAGGTTATCATGCAAAATGTGGAAGGATGTCGTATATCTCTCAAACAATGGAGCCGGACTACATTTCATCACCCGAGGAAACGAATTGATAACCTTAAAAGAGAAATACATGAACTGAGTCTTGCCAACAAATCCGCGGAAATTATTGTGCGACAGAAGAAGCTTAAAACTGAACTGGAACGGGCCTACGGCGACCTTGACACATACTGGCGGCAAAGGAGCAGGGTGCAATGGATTAGAGAATGGGACATAAACACGAGCTTCTTTCATGGTAAAGCCTCCGGTAGAAAAAAGAAGAATTGGGTTCATAGGTTGCGGGACTCAGTCGGTGAGTGGCAAGAGGGGAAGGAGAATATTGAAAAAAATATCACGGAGTACTTCGAGGACTTGTTTCAGACGACTACTCTAGACGAAAGAGAGATTGATGGGGTGCTTGATCATTTAGAAGCAAGGATCGATGGTGAGGCTGCTGATCTACTTTCCCTTCCATTCTCCGGGGATGAGGTAACCCGAGCTATTTCCCAAATGCACCCCACTAAAGCACCTGATCCAGATGGACTTCAGGTTCTTTTTTTTACTAAATATTGGCATATTTTAGGTGCCAGTGCCATTGATTGTGTCATTCTTCCATCCTCGATTAATTTTACCTATATTGTGTTGATCCCCAAAACTTAGAAACCTGAAAGAATGCCTGAATATCGTCCTATTATCTTATGTAATGTCATTTACAAATTTGGATCTAAAGTAATTGCTACGGCTTAAAAAGGTGTTGAGCGATATCATTTCACCTACCCAACCCGCTTTTGTGCCTAATCGTTTGATAACCGATAATGTGTTGGTCGCATA